TGGTGGTGGTGGTGAATTTATAATAGTATATATTGATATTTATGTTTGTTATTTATAAATTCAATCAGAATTAAGTAAGTTTCATATGATTTAAAATTTTTAGAAGTTTTAGTTTACATTTTAAGATACACTTAAATTTTTAAATAATATCAATTATGGTTTAATTGATTATCACTTAATATATTTGGTTTTAAGTACTGAATTATGTTAGCAAACATCCCCTATTGTACACTCTTTACCATACACCTTATAATTAAAAAAAAAATGTATAATTTTATACTTTTTGAGTTATAATTAAAATAAAATAAAAAATTATAACAAAATATCACATAAGACATAACTAAATATCTTATCAATCATAACTAAAATATTATCATAATTAAAGAAAAAATTTGGTCATAATTAAAGACAAAAATGACATAAATAAAAATGCATATAATACATTCCCTTCAAAAGATATGTATAGTAAAATTTCAACTGAAAACGTGTGTGGTGTGTATTGAGAACATGGTGTGTACGGAAAACTTTGGTACTGTGTAAATAGAATTACCCATTTTAAATTACAACTTTTTATATTTTTATTATTATTATTTTTATTAACGTTCAAACTACATTTTTTTTAATAAATTATTTTATTCAATTAATACAATAATTTTCAAAATGTCCGTTACATATCTTGATTATGGTGTTAAATGGCAACTTTCATGATTTATTATTATGCAATCACTTTTACATAACGATTGGGTGGATTTATGCTGTAATTACTTCATAAATATCTAAATTACTTCATAAATATCTAATATGCTTTTAATTTGTTGCTTAGTAGCTTGTAGGACTACGGTGTAGCTTATTCACATTGGTGGTGTTACATATACTAATTAATATATATATTAATTTATCAATTAGTGTTGTGTCATTATTACTGACCCACCTATTATACAAATTACAAATATCCAAAACTTTTAACATTTTGTTACATCATCTGTTAGTATACTCGTTAGTACATTAATTAATATATATGGTATTATTCTATTCAAATTGTTTATATTAATTTTTTTTGATATATTTATATTTTAGTATAATTTTTGTTTACAACTTATTAAGTAAAAATATTTTAAATAAATTTTAAAAACTAATTTTCTCAAATTAGATAGACACATGTTTTTGACTTAAAAAAAGAAAAAGAAAAAAGGAACACCAAAACATTAAACAGGCATATGCAACCAGACTATGGGCCTATGGCTAGCAGTTTCACACGATTATGCTTGGTTGTTTAAAAAAATTTAGGGGTAATTATACCAAAAAAAAAAAAATGTATAGAATTTGATCTTAGTAATAAAATAAAAATTAAAATTTTAGGCCTCGTTTGGAAACCCTTCCTTTTAGAAGAAAAGCCAAAAAGTTATTAAATTAGCTAAAAAGCCAACAACCCATACCAAAAAGTCAAAGATTCTTTTTTCTCTCTACTTTTCGCACATCTTTTCGTAAAAAGCTAAAAAATCATTTCAAACATACTATTTTTTTTTTAGTTCATATTTTAGCGAAATAGCTAAAAAGTTACTAAATTAGCCTGTTCCCAAACGAGGACTTAGTATTATTAATTTAAATTCTAATATTTTGATTTGTTTTCAATTTAAACTATTTATCTATTTTTGTTAAGTAAAATTAGCTGAAAAAATACTAATATTTTAATCATTAAATTCAATAAAAAAAATATTTTAAATAATTGATGTAACTTACATTGAGTTTATCAGATAAAATACTTTTTTTTGTCAATTTCACTTAATGAAAATAAGTAATAATTTAAATTAAAAATAAATTAAAATATTAAAATTTAAATTAATAAAATTAAAAATAAAAATTTATTTTATTAAAATGATCCAATTCTATTTTTTTATTTATAATTACACTAATATTATATTATGTGATTTAAGTAATTTTTGAGTTTGGTGCAAGTTTCTGACATTTAATTTAAAAAAAAAAAAAGAAAAGAGAAAAACATCTGCCTGCCCAGAAGTAAAGACCCACGTGCTTCCCCATTAGGTAGACATCTAAATAGTAGTTTTTTAATTATTAAATTATATTTCGTAATTTTTCAACTCTGACAGATCACTTTGCCTTTTCTTCTGAGATATGATAGACAGATCTAGTGGAACTGCTCTAAAAATAGTTTTATTGAGCTGGCAATGTAAAAAAATAAAAAAAGCAAAAAAAACAAAAAGATAAAACGCATCTGCTGTCTGACTTGTATGGTGGCTTTGTCCGATTTGGGAAGCAGGAATATGTGTTCGGTGGGATATTGGGCTGTGATTCCACACCCAGTGGGGGCGGCCCCACTAACAACCCCAGTGAGGTATCTCCTCTACATTGATCGAAAAAAATAAAAATAAAAAAAATAATAGTTTTTTTTTTCACCAATATAAATATATTTTTCATATAAAAAATTAAATTAATTAAAAATTAGTAATCATGATCAGATTCAAATTATTTTTAAAAAATTATAAAGATCATGTTAATTATTTATTTTTTATTTTTTTAAAATGTGCTCATATTATGAAGTGATAAATTTTTAATTAATTTGATTTTTTTACATAGGTGATCCGTTCAATAAATATTATAATATAAACAATTTAAATTATAAAAAAAAATTAGAAAAAATACCTACAGATACACCACAAATCACTATTGTCAGTTACATCGACATCCCTTAGTCCAAGTTTGTCATGTAGTTGTATGTTCACTTTATAATAAGACAACATTTATTTGACGTCTGACTCATTAGTTTTTTTTTTTAACTATTCTAACTCATTGCTTTTTGGGGAGCTGAAAAAAAAAAAAAAGTTAATTTTTAACTTTTTATCAATTTTGTGGTACATTACCTCTCACATAATTTATTCACAAAAAGACAATAAATTAAAAAATTTTAAAAATTAATTTTTTACCAACTTTCTAAAACATTCCTTTTAACTGGTAGATATATTTTCTCGATGTGACTAGTTTTGAGAAGTGTGTAAAAAATTAATTTTTTGAGTTTAATTTTTTTAATAAATTTTTTGTAATTTTTTTTTGAAAGAACTTGATAAAAAGTTAAAAAATTAATTTTTTTAGTAAGTTTCTAAATTGTCCCTGTGTATTCACTTTAGAACATCTAATTATTTTGTCTAAAATATAAGTAAAAAAAAATAAGAAACACTAATTCCAGTACAACAGCGTTTGTTATGGAACCAACTTAATATCTCCACTCAACCATGGTATTGTCGGCAAAGGAATATGTTGGTCTGAGTCCCTATATTGTCTAAGGTCAAGTTTGGAAAGACTAAATAAATGTATTTTTTTATTTTTTTTATATTATGTGTAGAAAAAGTAGAGAGGAGATGTTGATTGATGTGACTTAAAAAAGATAAAAAGATGAAATAAGTACACTTTTTTAGTTTAGCCAAACTTGACCTTAGTGTGTACCATAGAATTTATCTTATATCTATGAGTCAAATCAGCACAATTTGTTCTCTCTCTCTTTATGGGAAGGGTATGGCTTGTGTCCATCGAACTGGACGGTGTTGTTGGCTGTGAGAGTCTATCACGTTTTGAAAATTCGAACCGTTCAATATGTAAAACTCTTCATGTGTTATATATTTATGAAAAATTATGTTGATTGGATATCGATAACTATGTAATCAAATCAATTTTGTATAAAAAATAGACGGTGAATAAATTAACGATTGACAAAAAAACTATTTTGATCATATAGCTATCGATATTCGATCAACGTGATTTTTTACAGGTATTTAGTACTCAACGAGTTTTACATATTGAACAATTCAAATTATCAAAATGAGACCCGTGATAGATCCTCACAGATCCAACAACACCATTCAATTTGATATCAGACTGGACATAAGCCAAATCCTAATGAAAACAGGGGTGATAGATAGGGACTCCCATAACTCCCACCCCACACACATTTGAGAGAGAGAGAGAGAGAGAGGGGGGAAGGAGGGAGAAGAAAAAGGAAAATAAATAAATAAATAATAAATGGCCATAAATTAATTAGAGATTGCGAGGGACAAATTTTAAGGATCCAAATATTATTCTTATGTAAATGTACTCTCACACTTGAGAGGTTGCTGAATTCTCATAGGAAAAATTACAATCCAAAAAATAATTATAGATACATAAAAAAAATTATATTTTCAATTATTAATATTTATAAAATTTATTATTGATTTATAATTATTTCTATAAATATCACTGATTTGACATTTTTCTATTCTCATATGTGATGCATAAACACAATTACGTGGATAAGGATTGTAAAAATTTAAAATCAATTGATACTCAATAGTGGAATGAGGCGACCGAGAGATCCAATTTAAAAGTGGACCGTTTATATTATATGATTTGAAAACTCACTCAAGATTTAAATTTATGTTATATTAAAATTATATCTAACTCAAAATGAATTGACAATAAATGACGAGATTCTTACCAAGCTTGGTGAGTTGGATTGAAAAAATATAAGTTTAAGTTTAGCTAGGATAAACATCAAGACTTAGCTAATATACTGTAATACAAGAATCTACTCAAGATATTTTTGTGAATGCATCGGGAAAGTTATCTCTATTTTTAACACTATCAACTTTTTTATTTTTTTTATTTTTTAGAGAGAGAACAGAGAACTTGCCTGATTAAGGAATATGAAAAAATGAGCCATATATTTAAAAAGTAAACATCAATAACTAACTTGAATTCAAAATCATCGTACGTAAAAGCTGTGGAAATTTGTGTAGCCAAGTTTCTAATCAAGATATGATTCTGAAGTGATGAAGAATATGATGTAGATTCGATAATAATAAAGCCTTTTTCACTATATTTGATCTACAACTAGAGAGGAAAAAGATCTGATGCTTGAAGAAAATAGAGTAGAAGAAGAAATACCAAAGATAGAATGAAGAAAGATGCTAAAGATATTTTTATTTAAACAATAGGCAAATGATTCTAACCTTGTTGAAGTAACCAAATCACAACCAAAAGTCACCGAGAAAAGTTTCTGCCTTTGGATCGCGAATCCACCGCCTTGTAGATAAGATAGGAAAATGAGAATGAGAATGAGTATGAGAATGAAGAGATGAGCATAGGCAAAGGAAAGAGAAAATGCTATGTACCACCATGAAATTGTATCTTCACGGCCAAGTTTGAGAAATTAAATAAGTGTACTTTTTTATTTTTTATGAAATATGGGTTGGATTTGGGTTGAGTTTGAAGTGATGTGTTGGAGAGGTGATGTTACTTAAATAAGATGATATAATTTAAATAGGATAGTGACTTTTTGATTTTTTAAATTTTTTAGAGGATGTCAAACTTGACCTTACTCTAAAAATAAAGTAGATATTGTAGATTTAAAAATAATAAGATGTTCATAAATACACTTTTTAAAATAATTTTCTAGATAGATATTTTTTTTACAATGATGTTTTTGAGAATTATTAGGGTCTATGAAGTGATGGGTTTGTCTCCTTTGATTATGACTGAGAAATTACAAATCAGGTGAGTTTGTAAAAAATAATTACACATATATATATAAGTTTATGATTTTAATAATTAAAATTTATAAATTTTATAATTTTTTTGAATTTTTTATTTTCAACTCTCAACTGGTGATTTGTTATTTCCCCTATTAGAAATTAACTCGCCCTCTTAATAAAGGACTTGTACAAGAAGTAAAGTAAGAAGTTGTTTGGAATGTTCTAAATAAGTACATTTTTTATTTTTGGACTAAAAATAGAGAAAAAATGATTGTTTGGGATAACTTTTTAATTTTTTACAAAAAAATGTGTATTAAAATATTATATAAAATAACAAAATTATCATTTTACCCCTACTATATGTAAATACCTACTGACTTGGATTGTACTGGAAACCAATCGGTTGGTGGCAAACATTATAGGAGTAGATTGCCTATAGTCCAAGATCGGATTGGACAATACTATTTGGCCCGTGTGGTGCACCATGGGTCCCGTTTTAATAATCAGAATCGTTCAATGTGTAGAACTCGTCGAGTATTATATACTTATATAAAACCACATTGATTGAATATCGATAGCTATCTAATCAGACTAGTTTTTTTGTCAACCATTAATTTCTTCATCGTCCATTTTGTTATACAAAACTGATTTGATCATATAGCTATCGATATCCAACCAATATAATTTTTTACAAACATATATAGTAACCAACTAATTCTACATATTAAAAGGTTTATATTATCAAAACGAGACCCGTGATGAGCCCCCACGGACCAAACAGCACTGTCCTATGTAACTTTTTTGTGCACCGCGGGGTAAAATTTGTAGCATCAGTTGACAGTGTACCATCACTATACACTGTCCTATGTAACAGCACTGTTATGATTTTTTATATATATTTTTTTGTGAATAGTAATATTTTTTTGATTTTTTAGTAATTTTTTGACTTTTTATCTTATTTAAGACATGCCAAACTAGGCCTAAATTACACACTATTTTTTCACTTTAGTTTTTAATTTTAATTTTTTTTTTAATTTAGCTCTTTATTTTTATATTTTTCTTAATTTATTTCTAAAGCTAATTTCTGTTTAAAATTAGACAAAAAATATTACATTTTTTTTTTCATCAGCCAAAAAAAGACTTTATTGATGAATATTCAAACAACTAAAGAAGATACATCAATAAAGAGGGAAAAGTGCAAAAAGCATTACAGTAAACCTACGCCATCTCAACAAGGTTGGCACTACGAGGGCTACCAAATCATATGCTAGAAAATATTAGGTTAACTACCAAATGACAAAAAATATATTATTATATTGGTATTTGAGTTTGTGTTAAAAGTGTGAATTATAAATAATAAAATATTTTTATACCATATGATTATCAATGTGTCAATTTTTATGTAATTTTGGATACAAATTAACTTTTGAAGTAAATTGAAAAAAAATTTAAATTACAAACGGCGAAAGTAGGGAAAAAAAATTCAAATGTTAAAATGAGAAAAATATAGATGGAGTAAAGCATAATTTATTTCAAAAAGCAAATGACTGTGTCAATTTTTATCTCTTAGACAACCTTCTCACTTTGGAGTGGTGTGTGAGGGAAGGAATTTGCTTTGTGTGACTTGAGAAGAAATGGAAAGGGTGGATTATGGGTGAATTTGAAAATATGATTAAAAGTTAATTTTTAGTTTTTAATTTATTTTGGGCCATATTATCTTTTTTATTTATATATATATATATTGAAAAATAAAAAAATTAACTTTTAACTAAATTTTCCAAAACAATCCTATGGTGAACAAGTCTTTGCCAACAATGGTTCACTTTTTTTCTCCTAAATTTTTACTAGAGTTTATGGCCCTGTTTGGTACAGCTTAATTTCAGCTTATTTCAGCTTTCAGCTTAATTTAAGCTATTTTGATGTGTTTGGTTTAGCTTATAACTTATAACTTATAGCTTTGTGGAAGTCAGAAAACAGCTTATTCTTTGAGTGGGGCAGGAGATGCTTTAAGAATAAGCTAGAAATCAGCTTAAGCTGAAAGTTATAAGCTATAAGCTGTTTAGGCATAAGCTATAAGCACTTTCCCACAGCTCTACCAAACGGGGCCTATGTTTGATACTTCATATTTTAAGCATTTAAATTTCAGGATAAATTACAAATAAACCTCTTTATTTTAAAAATACGAATTGTTCTTAGTGATTTTGAAAATTACATTTCATTCTTTAAAAATTTTAATTTTATGACAAATAATCTCTTTTATTAATAAATTATTGAGTCAATTAACAATATTTAATGATATTAAAAATATATTTCAATTAATAATTCAAGTAATTTTATTACTGTATAAAATAATAGTTAGGAATTTTATTTTTTCAATTAATTCTATTAAAGAAAAAAATTTAACAGAAGGAAATTTATAAGTTTTTAAATCACAGAAAATAATTTATATTTTAATCAAACCTGAGGAGTGTATTTATAATTTATTCTAAATTTTAACTCAAATTGCAACGTGGTTATTTCATTATTTATTAAAATTTAGATGGAAAGTCCTTACCAAGAAAGGACAATGCTGGAATATATATTTGGCAAATTATAATTTTTCCCTTCTATTCATTCAAATTTTATTCAAATTTTATTTTAGTCGCTCATGTTTCAATTTTCACTAAAATCTAAAATGATAAGGTGACAAAAAAATCAAATTGTAATGTTTAAACTCTGAAAAATTAATTGTTATACTTTAAAAATTAAGAGACCAAAAATAAAATTTGAATATAAATTCAAGTGTAAATGATATAATTTATGCAAATAAAAAAGATGGCGAGTTAAAAGAAAGAAAGAGAACAAGTAAGAAAAATACTAAAAACAACTTTCAGAGTTATTATTAGTGTTGAAAAAATGTGTACGAGTATAAGGGTGTTTTGAGAAGTTGGTAAAAAGTTAACTTTTGATTTTTTACTAAGCTTTTTGACTTATTTAAAAAGTGATTTGGGAAGTTGGTAAAAAACTAATTTTTGGCTTTTTGGGTTAATATTTATTTATGACATCAAATCAAAATAAAATGATCAAAATACCCTTGCCAAACTTTAGAATTTTAGGTAATTTGTTAACATAGAGGGTATTTAGGTAATGAAAAATGTTTCATACCACTAATTTAGCACCACTAATGCATCACTAATGATGTGGCATCATGTGGGCCCCACCACTGATGTGATAGTTTGGCCTTTGTTTTGTTTTTTTTTTTTTTTTCTTTGCATTGCCACCTCATTAGTGGTGTTTTAGAGTTCCAAATTTAGTGCTCTAAATCACCACTCTTAGGTAATTTCACAGGACAGCGTTCTTGTCACATCCCAAATGCAACAATTGCGTTTTCGGCTGGCCTAGCTTTTTTTTCACATCAACAAAACGCTTGCATTTTTGTGCTCTTTCCAAAACGGCACTAATATTTTGAGATATGTCTGTTTTGTTTGGAGTTTTTAAAAATAGCTTTATGAGTTTTTAATTCGTATTTTTGTATTTTTAGTGATTTTTTAAATATTTTAATCAGAATTTTTAAAACTTTTTGGATCCACTTAATCTTGATATACTTAAAAAGTATAAAATTTGTATAAAAATATTTAAAAAATTCATTGAATACAACAAAATACGAAGATGTTTTGAATTTTTATATATATATTTTTTGTATTTTTTGTATTTGGTGAAATTTTTAAAGTTTTTTTCATAAATATTATCCTTTTTAAATATATATATAGATATATTAGGTGTATCTAATTTTTTTTTTTAAAAAATTACGTAAATTATTAAAAAAATTCACTAAGAAAAACAAAAAACAATTTTTAGAAAAACAAATCAAACCAAACAAGGATTTGAGATCATAATACACACCTCTAAAAAAATATGTACTATGTAAGTTATAATATTTATAGTATTGATCACTACAAATTTCATAACGAAATTACTTTAAGTTATTAGTAAAATATAATTAAAGACATTTTCAATTATAACTAAATAATAATCAATGAGTCATAACTAATGATCATAAACAAAGACTACACATATTATATATGAGTATATAAGAGGGGTGAGCAACGGATATATCGATCCGACTAAACCGATCAAACTGAATTGATCCGCCGCATTTTGGATAAATGTGTGATGACGAGCGGACGGTTGCAGATTGATTTTTCCAATCCGCCTAGTTTTGGATGAATGAAGGATTTGAGATTCCTTTGGAAGCAACCGAACCGTTAAACCGCGAGCACCCTTAATAATTTGTAAGATTTTGTGTTTTCAATTTGTTTAGATATTCTGTTTGTATTTTTAATTAAAAAAGAGTTTAAATATTCTGTTAAATATATTCTGTTGAAAAAAAGTTTTCAACTTGAATATATTTTTTGAATTGAAAAAAATAAATATATTATTTATCTATATTTTTTAGTTTTTAAATCTAACTCTAAAAATAGTAAATAAAAAAGATGATATATGCTGGTTTGTTTTTGTTTTAAAAAACAGATATAGATGTAACAATACAGAGACATACAATTCGCTACTACTGCTCTGTTCATGGTTTTAGTAGTTTGAATTGTTTTTATATTTTAAGAATCAGTTCTGCTATAGACCTCGAATGAGATCTGCCGCGAATGGCTCGAGCCCCAAAACGATGTTGTTTTGGGGCAAAATTTCAAAAAAAGAGAAGAAAAGAAAAGCAGCAGAACTGGTGATGGCTTTGGTGTCCCCTGTCAATCCATTCAAGAATGCGCGCGCGCGCACACACACACACAGAGAACCACCAAGAATTGCAAGTTCTTCCATGAATTGAATCAAAGTTCAAAATCTGAAATTAAAAATAAAATAAAATCAAGATAAATCAAATTAGTAATTAACAAATCAGAGAAAGAGAGAAGATAGGGCGGTGATGGAGAGAGAGAGGTCGGTGGAGCAGTTGGGGAGCTGGAGGGAGGGAGGGAAGAGTTTGGCGGCGTTGCAGTTGGTGGCGTTGTGGTGGGAGGGTGGTTAAGAGCAGGGAACGGTGGAGGTGGGGATGTTGAGGGATTGGAGGGCTGTGAGTCCTTTTGGGTCAAGGGTTGAGGAGGATGAGAGGATGGAAGGTGGGAATGGAGATGATGAGGGGAATTGGGTTGGGGAGATGGTAGTGGTGGTGGTGCTGGGAGAATAAAGAGAAAGGAGGTGAGGGAGGAGAGAAAGAGAGAGAGAGAAATAGAGAGAGAGAGGGATGAGAGTAGAGAGAGAGAGGGATGATAGTAGAGAGAGGATGATTCGAGCCAATTCGCGCCTTGAATTGTCGAGGCCTGAAGCATTTTTCTTTAAGAATCACAAATTGTAATACTTTATGGATGATGCATGTTATGATTGTAATATGTGGATGAGGCATGCAGTGATTGTAATATTCTAAAATTTCAAAATTTCTTTCTTTAAATGAGACATGTAGTGATTATAATACTTTTTTAAGTTATTGACTGTAATACCTTTTTTTTTTGGGGGGGGAAGCACACAAGTTGAATTGTGTTAAAAATTTATAAAATTTTAAATCGCCAAACCGATTCGCATCCATTCACCAATCTGGCGGACAAATGGCGAATTGAAAGTTCCGTGGGCGCATCCGACCTGTGCCCACCCCTAGTATATAATACACAGGGATAGATCATGATTCTAACATAGAGAGGGTGAATATGTACATTAACAAAAAAACTTGAAACAGTATAGACTATAATATCAATTTCTACCAATAAAAAAAAGTAAAAAATAACCTTAAAAAATATAAAAAAGAAATATTTTCTTATATTGATGTTGGATTACAAAGGATAACTATTATAAGACAATCTATCTATACTAGTCATGAGAGTCTAATTTTTTTGGCTATATTTTGTCTAAATTGTTAAATTTTATACTTTAAACCCTATGGTTTATAGATATAAAGGTCTAAGATGTGCAATTACTTAATCTTTTTCAAAACCTAGAGGAGGCAATTCTTCTATGTAAAGGTATATAGAAGAATTGTTTAAAATTATGGGGTGGGGATTGCCCCCTCTTGTCCCCCTCTGAAACCATCCTTGATAATTCACACCTTGAGATATGCATTATAAAAGAATAATGTTATATGTGTTAATTAGTGTACCGATTGATGATGTGACATAATTTAAGATATTTTTAATATTTATAATTTGTATAATAAGTGGGGGTCAATAATGATATCAGAACTAGTGTTAGTACATTAGTGAGTACACTAATTGGTGCATGTAGTATTACCAATTATAAAATATTCTTAAATATTTTTAAGATCTAGACCTTTTTTTGGGGACAAGGGTTGATACTAAAATAGTCAATAAAGGTTAAAAAAATTAAAATAATCAATAAAATAAAAATATTACATCTTATATATCAATTAATCACTTTTTTTTCTCGCAACCATCTATCTTAATTACAAAAAAATTCACAACTCATTTCAAAGATAATTTTTTTTTATCTTAAAAAATAACTAAAAAATCAATTAAAATAGAAAGGTTTGTGAACCGGCCCTCAGCAGCCTTAAGGCTTGCATTGAACCGACAAGCAAAAATGAGAATCTCACCTGAATTAGGAGTCTTCCTCGGAATTGCAAAAAAGAAGATATGCTGCTCAATATGCGTCAAAAGCAACAACAAAAACAAAGAAAGTGGCGTGAACAAAGCAAATCTTGATTCCGAAGCATATAATCTTTTGATTTCTGCATGATGTGGAGGTGGAAGATGAAGCCACTTCACTTCTACGGCAAATGCACCTAGCAGGTGAAGAGTGTTGAAGAAGAGCCTTTGAAGAGTGTTGACACTGCATAAACCTAACCACGAAACTTCCAGGAAATCATGGGAGGGCTACGCATGTTCCGTTGCCTCATCATCGTTTTGTTTTGTTTGATTTGTTTTGTTTTTTTAATTACAATTGTAAGTAGGAGCAGATTAGGAAAATGGAGATATTACCGGCTTGTTTAGCAACTAGGATTTTGTTTAAAATAGTCTAATTAAAATAAATAAAAAATATTAATAAGATAAAATATTACATCTTACACATCAATTAATAATAATATATATATATTTTTTATAAAAGAATTCACAAATCATTTCAAACATAACTTTTTTATTTTTATTTTTATTTTATCTTATAAAATATTTTAAAAAATTAACTAAAATAATCAATTTTCTAAATGACCCATTGATTTGAATCTATACATCAGGCTCAATAAAAAAAAACTATCTAATTCATTAGATTATTGGGTAGTAAACAAGCTGGGAGGTAAGTAGTTGTTTACATTTGATTTAAAAACTTGGGCATATAGCTTATTTTGGCTTTTTAATAAAAATTTCAATGAGTCAAACTTGAATAATTTAATTTTGTACAATACGCATAAGCTTATTACTGAACCAAATATGTAATTTAAAATCATATTTAAACTTGATTTATTTATGGGTAAATTACACTAACAGTCCCTATAGTTTGGGGCGCGTGTCACTTTGGTCTCTGTCTTTTCAATTGTGACACATTTGATTCTGAATTTTGAATCTTATTTCAAATAAGGACAATTGAAGACCATTGTTCAATTTCAAAGGCAAAGTTGTCAATTTGATAAAACATAAATTAATTTGACAAAAATAAATGTCAAAAAAAATATTTTTTATTTAAAAAATTATTTTTACCTACCAAAGATAAAATTATGTAAAACTGATAAATTTTTTACACATTTATTTATTTGTTTTACTAAATTAATTTTTATTATGTGTTTGCATGATCATGTAATGGGTAGTTCAACTATTCCATTCTCGGTACAACTGACGTCACCACTGGACTTCACGGTGATCATGCGTATATGTGATGCTCCAAAAATTAGGGACATCTATATTAACAAATAAGTACAAGATTTTTCTAAAGTTATGAGTCTAGGAAATGTCACTAATGAGTCATTGGGTCAATAACCAAATAAGATCCCAAGAAAGATCGAGGAGTCAATATAGCCCCTTCAAAATCCAATCTCTTTAGATAGCAAAATTACATTTTTGATAGATTTTAACAAATTATTAATACAAAATCTACATAAGTTGATGGAATGATAAAGATAATGATAAGTTTACCAAATGATATACGTATATATAAGCAAATAATAATTACAATGTTATAACTTAGTCACAAAACATGAAGTTCCATCAATTTTACATTTCCAAAACAAAAATAAGATCACAGATGGACCTAAAACAAAGATAATCCCTAGCTTCTTCTATGATAGCTAAACGACTTCAAATGTTTTGGTTTCGTCTTTGCCCGAATGATCGTCTTCACTACCTGACATGAAATGTCATGAGCTTAGGATGCCTAGTAATCGCAAACATATCCCATCGCTTTCTTCTAATCCAATACACAATTACAACAATGGCATGGTCATATCATATAGTGGAAATAATAATCAAGCAGAACTTATAATAATTTTCAGTTCTTAAGAATAACAATTAATCAAGTTAGTTCTAAGCAACTCCCACGAAATGTTGTTCCTACCTAACACTCCAAGCTTGGCTTTAGGCAAAACGGTATCCTTTCCTGCTCACCATTCCAGATGCCCCCCTTCTAGGGTTATATACCCAGGTCGTGTCATTTTGGAATACAAGATAGTCACAACCTGTCACGGCCACAAAGATTCTCATTTGTGATTTGGTCTGCCACAGGAATTCTCATATGTGCGACAAGCATTCTCATTTGTGTTATGCAAGACCCGATCTGTCATGACCCAAACCTGTCCCTATAGGTTTAAGTCATGACCGGCCAATAATCCAGGATTACCTTCGACCTTAATGACAAAATCAATCATCTTATAAGAATGGGGCTTAGCAGAAGTAATAGTATAATATAAAAATAGACTGTTGAGCAGTGCATACATGCCGATATCATAAATATTAAAAACTTTCAACTCCAACAACTTATATACAATATTTCAAAGTTAGACTTCTCACCCTACATCATTAATACAAGTTGCAAAAATATCCAAAGAAACAAAAGTTGGGTTGACAAAGCCTGACTCCTCTCGAGTCCAAGCTCGCCCCTTCACAGAGGCACTTTCTAAAACGACTTCAAAGGAGTAGACACCGAGGCAGCCTTAAACTTGACGTTCTACTTGTTCACCTACACACACACACACACACACACACACACACACATATATATATATAAGGGAGAGGGGTGAGCTGAAGCCTAGTGAGTAATATCAGTATAAAGGTTTTATATGAATGAAGTCCAACATGATACAATTATATCTTCCATTTTCGAAACGATTCATGTCAATAAGCAATTCAATAGAATTCAATCATTTCAATCTCTTATTTGCAATAACAATATTCAATCATTCAATTTACGTGGTACATCTAATATAGTTTTCAATAGACAATGTGCCGAAGCCAATAGGACCACATGGGTCAATCCAATGGGACCATGATAGGTCATTCAATAATTCAATGTGGACCATTAAGGTCTAACATCAGAGATCTCTGTGTTTCAATTAATCTAATGGGCTATGGTATTGTTTCCCCCAAGCAAGGGCTTATTAATCAATGGAGCACGATATTGTTTCCCCCAGGTGAGAGTCAATGGGCCATGGTATTGTTTCTCCCAAGTAAGGGCTTATTAATCAATGGACCACATTATTGTTTTCCTCGAGCGAGGGTGTAACGACCCTTACCTCCATATTATTTTTATATAGTATTTGATTGGACATAAATTGCATAATTATGTGTGTATTAGAAACTTATCTGTTTGTATTTGAATTATCTGTTTAATTGTCGACTTAGAATTTGAAATTGAAAGCCTAAACGACTTTAGAAACCAAAATTGGTTAATTCAATAGGCTAGTTGGAATTTTTAGAATCATATGGTAAGTTTGATTAAAATTTAATTTGGATCAAAATAATTAGAATAAAATAATCATAATTGATTATATTTAAACCCATTTGATTAGTCTTAAGCATAGGTGATTAGTGAGACCTTAATCACCCTATATATATATATATTTGTTAAACATGTTTAGACTTCATTTTACATCAACCTTGTGCTGAAAATTGAGAGCTAGAGAGAGAATTCAACACTTTAGAGAGAGAGAGAGAGAAGAATTCAAGAGAAACCAAGGCAGATTGTAGAGGTTTAGCTTAACTAAGGCCAAATTCAAACTCTAGGTAAGATTCTTACCCTTAATTCAAGAAGTTAATCCATGTTGGAAGACGAATTCATCACTTTGTAGTACCATTTGCATGTAATTAAAAGAAATGACCATAATTCAACAAGAGTTTGGTGAATTTGAGTGAATTGTGTACATGCATGCATAATTCATCTTTTGAACTTGGTTTGGTCAAATTCACACATTCATGAGCCTTGCTCAAGTTATTTCTTAGATTTTTTTTTTTTTTTTTTTTTTAATGTTTTTGCACTCAACATTCCACTTATACATGTTTTAGAAAGAAAAGAGTTGAGTTTGTGACACCCCCACTTTTGGGCATCATATATTAATATAAATAATTCAACATGGTTAAATATTAAGTTCCAATATAACAATTAAAGGAGTACGTTCCAAAGCTTAATCTTAATACAACCCTAAATGTTTGATTTCTTACACCAATCTCCGGACAATGTTATATAATACATAAAATTTCGTCAAAATAGGTAAGAAGGTGTGCAAGATAGGCCTTAATGGCCAGGGTAAGGCAGTTCTAAGTGAACTATGGTTGAACTTTGGCATCTATGACAAAATCTTCCCTGACATTTTCTCTTTCTTCTTCACTTGGCATGAAACGCCGTGAGTGCGAAGCCCAATAGGATACAAGAAACCCCAAAAAAAAATAGCAACTTCTTACAGTTTGAAAACTTATGCAATATGAACACAGTGGAGTTAATTAACAACATTTAAAAATATACAATCATTACGAAAAAAAGATAATAGCGCAGTGAAGACAACACATATATATATATATATATATACATGATCCATCACGAATATATTCACAATGCCAATGTCAAGTTATCATAGAGTTCATAACGTAATCTCAATTAATTGTAAATTTGGTGAGCCTACAGTGACTCCCCGTGGAGTGCCGTCCTACCCAATCATTGACCCTGGCCAGGGACTATTTTGCACCTCCTCTTGATCGCGAGGCATTGGACCTAAGCATGTTACATGCTGAGTTAGATACTTAAGGTGTATCATCTGTAGTCTGTCTCAAGAGAATTGGCCTTGCAGAGGTACTCTCTCTGTTTGAGACCCTCATTACCACCTTTATCCCAAAACCAAATCCGTGAGGTCAGAATACTATCTGGGCCATGTCAAGGCTTCACAAGCTAAATAATCACGTTTCCTTAGAACCATGGCGCACTTTGCACCAACAAAACATCGATATACATCTTCCTTATATTTATCCACGTGTGTATAGTCCAAACCACCCATTTCATTTTCCCCTTGTTGTGGTCATAATAGCTTTTGATGAAAATACACATATCATGATTCATTCCAACTGATCAGGCATATTTAAGTGCATGCAAGACAAAATATATAAGAACGAGACAATAAAAAAAGGGTTTAAGCCATCACTAATTTGATTCCAGATTCTGAACGGTTTTCCAGCAAACTGTCCCCTCAAATAAAAATATAGAAATGATAGTAAATGATATTTAAAAATTTTGATTTTTAGTGGAGTTATAGATTATTAATTTGGGAACATTTTTGAGAGGGCTCGAAGTCATTTGGCTACTAGAAGAT